GAGTCTTGACCAAGTAGACACTTCTTTTGTGTCCCTCCTCTTGACTCAAAAATTGAATCAGTGCTCTAGGGCCCATATATTTTCAGCTTTTTTGATATGCACATGCATATGCGAATGACCTTCATAGAAACCTACCTTGTCAACATTGGTTTCTTGGTAGGTGACAGTAGTGATACCATCCATTGATAACTGGATCTTGTAGTTTGTTATCCACTCGTTTATACCATTAGCTCCTTGGGTGGCTACAGCACAGATAACGTACTCATACAGCAGGTCAATTTGTAAGTAGTCAGCACAATTGGTCGCAGTCTTGGCTCCCCAACCCCGATTAGCTCCATTCAATCGACCAAAAGAGGGTTTATACCTATGGTCATAATACGATGAGGCAGAGAAGCTGCTGTCTGGAATTGCAGCGCTAGAGGCCAAGCCAATGGCTCTCGATTCACATGCTGTAAGGGAATAATTTAAACTCAGTCTTCATAGTTTTATACAAACTGTAAACATTGTAGCGCCGTTACTTAAAGTTGACATGATCACAAGCGCTTTACTGGCTAGTTCTGATAAACCAGAAGAAATACGAGAGTCTATCGATCGATGCAAGACATTGTATTTGCCCACTTAAAGGATGTGGTAAACCATGAGTGACCAGAGTACCCGAACGAATGAACCCAAGACTTGAGAGACCGCTTGAAATGTAGAATAAAATGGCCCTGTCCTCAAGGGACAATGCCTACTAATTTCCTGTAAGTCCCACCAGCAAATGTTGCAAATCATACACCAGGGATACATGGAAACAGAAAAACGTCTTCTGACAACGGGAGGTTGCCTATTTTGACCAGGTCTATCAAGAGACATAAAGGAAATGACAGCAAACATGGGATATCAATAGAAGATAATTTTTTGTGTTCTGCATCTGCCTTTGCAGCAGACGACTCCAGCGCTCGCAAAGCATATAGGGGAATGAAGAATATCTCCAACATCGACGAGACGTCCACAAACAACAACATTACAAGATATTATGAATGATTAAAATTAGAAGTGTTTGGGAACCACTAAAATTAGCAATGCAATTTTCTAACACAGTGTTTTGAATTGTTTAGACCTGTTTGTTTATCTTGAAATCCTTCTGCAAGTCCTGTGCAAGACCACATTTTTATTTTTACATTTTTAGTGATGTGTTCTTGACAGTTAGTTGTGTTTGGGTTTGCCCTTGACCTTGCTTAGTGTCCTCAAGAGTTCTGTTTAAGTTTTAGTTCTCGAAGATTAGTTGTTTTTCAAGTGCTTTGTTGTTCATTTCGAAAGTCTTGAGATATTGTTTTGGTTAGGATCCAAAAAAACCAAGGAAATTAGACTTATGAACTGTTTCACAATATATATTTACGTACACGAGATATCAGTTCGGCCTTTTGAGAATCTCATTACATTGCACTCAGCTTAACAGTCTTTCATGTTAGCGTTTGTAGCCTTGCTGCTTATTGCACCCATTAGACTTTCAGGGTAGAGATGTAAACACATTGAATCTACGGTGTTACGCATGCGCCGCGGGACGCGTCAGCACATGGCCTGTGGCCATGGATTTCAGAGGCTACGAGCATCTCTACAAAAATTACGTTAGATGATTTAAATGATTAAACAAGTAACTTTAACAAGATCTGTAGATGAACTCCCACTTCAACTTAGTTGCCCGCTACTTCATAGCTATTAATTTTTTTCTTTACCTCACAAAAATTATAATTGGTCACAAATTAAAGATACCCAGATTTTTTAAAAGTTCATAATGAAGTTTTGAGTTCAAGAATAAACTCAAATTCAGCCCTTTCCTTCTAGTTATTATCCTCTGACTTAAATTTAGTTTCCTGGCTGAATATTTATTGGCAATTAATTCCACGTTGAACATAAGAATAACAGGTTATCATGGGTGACTTGGTGTCTTTGACTTCTGAGATTTTAACCACTTATCTAGATAACAGGCATACGTCATCAAAGTTGCCTGAAAAAAGTAAAGATTAAAAGAGTATCTTAGACTCACTCAACGTTTTTTCTACTCCAAACACCTCTGTTCTCATACACACCCCACCCTGGTGTGTTTGTGGCAGAAATCGTAAAAATCTTGTTAACACTCCATAAACAACATGTTTCACTTCTGAGTTCGTGTCATCATTTCCTCTCAGAAACTTGAGGCAAACAAATAGTAACATGTCATCAATAATATTTTTCTTTGGAAAATTGAGAAAGTAGCAGGTATAAAAAATATAAAC